TATATTGGCTTGGAGTTTTTCAATTTAGATTATTTTAAATCAATGAAACTAATTAAAATGTCTAATATAATACATACAATTATAAAAAAAAAAAATTAAAAAGGTGGGTAAAAGTCACTTTTCAAAACACCCCAAACACAGCTTCCAACCTGCAGTGCGATTGCCCACACTGGAACGCAATGTTGTGTGTTCCAGTGTGCTGTGATTGCAAAAAATGTGCATGCAGTTTTATTCTGAAGTAAACTTTGTTTGTAAAACTCCATTTGTGTATTTCATTTTAAATGAAATATTGTATTTCATTATTTTTATTTTTTTTGCCAACATTTTTTTTAGCCCAAAAAAATAATTAGCCAACAAATTGATAGTTGCAGCCCTAGTGCTGACACTGTCCTTCCTTCTGCAGGGTGGCTGCTTTTGTTCCCCATGGTCCCTGTGTGTGTTGTGAAGTAGCCACCACTCCAAGCGTACTCCTGTCATGGGCTACACATTTACAGGGTTATTCACTAAAGGGTGAAGAGTTTGGAGAAGGCAGGAGAAGTGAACAATCTAGGACAACATAGCTGAACTGGAAAGTGACCTGAATTGGAGAATTTTTCCAAATCAGCTATGTTCTCCTAGATTGTTCACTTCTCCTGCCTTCTCCAAACTCGTCACCTTTTTGTGAATAACCCTCAGTTTACTAATTTGTATTGAGATTGTAGTCCATCACAGGAGTGAGCTTGGAGTAGTGACTACTTTACAACACACATAGAGACCATGAGGAACAAAAGCAGCCACCCTCCAGAAGGAAGGACAGTGTCAGCACCAATTCAGAGATGATTTGAGGACCTACAGCTGAGAGATACACAAATTAGATACATTATGTCTAATAGTTGGTGTACCGGAATGCATTTTTAAGATTTAACATCTGAGTTCAGTGTAACTTTAAGATTTCACATGCCCTAGCTAATTGAGAGCATAAAGCAAAAGTTAAAAGAGGTATGAAATAAAGCTGAAAAGCAAAATGCTTACCTTTCCTGCAGTACTCATTGTTAAAACACTGTCTTCTTGTTAAAATAAGTGTTCACCCAACTTTGTGTGTTATAATACCTGCTTTCCTGGAAAACAGCTGCTCAATACTATATTCAAAAGTTGTTTGTTTTTTGGGGGGGGGGTTTCTACCTTTGCTGTGACTGAACTTTTGCTATGTAATGTTGTATGTAATGTATTGCATAATTTGCCAGAAGACTTTGGATTTTCAGATAAATTTATACTGACCGCAGCATATTAAATTATCTGAGCAGATATTTGCTTCGTAGGCAAGAATTGCCTGATCAGGGTATTATCAAGTAGCCAAAGACTTAAGGCATATCAATTAATTCAAAAGCAATGCAGACACGTCACCACAGAAGACATCTTGTGACTTTTCACATATACAGTAAACTCCCAGATATCCGTCACCCATGGGGATTGGTAGATGCCGGATAACTGTAGTTTTTGGTTGCTTGAGAATTACTATTAACTCTCAAGCAACAACACCCCCCCCCCCAATAAATAAATACATTTAGTTGCTAAAAACATTTTTTATTGTGACACATGACTATCGAGCAACTGGCAAAAAACAATTCAGGATATATTATGTCCTCGGTTTTTTGTTTTTTTTCTTCTGGTTGCTTGAATAACGCATAATGGGGAGTTTACTGTACATTAAATTATAACACAATCCCACTTACATCCTAGAAACAAAAACATCATAGTAGTGATTTACAAAGCTTTACAAAGTTTGCTTCAAGCACCACATGCACAGAAAGTGAACTTCTCCTGCAGCTCCTGAAGCAAACTTCAAACATAGATAGCCCACCACCATAATATATTACCCAGGGGTACCTGAGAGATATGATCTTAATAATGTAGTTTGCATAACTGTTGACAAATAGAGATTAGCTAAGATTATTGCGCATGTTGTATATATTTCACTGCTCCTTATTTTTCTCTAGAGCTCATTAACGCAAGCCTTTTGATTGACTAGCCCTGTGCAAGCTGATCTGCAGTCTTCATTTCTGGCAATTTAAAGGAAAATAACAGGTCCTACAATATGAGAAAATGAAAGTGTATTCACTTATTTGTCAAAACTCATGCTCCATCAATTGACGAATTTACACTTATCAACCATATTTTCTCTATCTTTTCTTCGGTTGGAACCTCAACCTCCCTCCAGTTCTATTGTTCTATCAGCCTATTGAGGTTCTATTTTTGTTTTTGTCTTTGTATTTTATTATTTGCAGTTATATGTTTTTGTACATTTCTCTACTGCATCCTGTACATGCCTTGCTCATACACATCGTATGTAGTCGTATGTAGTTCTTTTATGGAACTACGTAACAAGGCTCCCTCCATGATGTCTTTACTGATGTGTTTCCATTTCTGCTTTCCACTTCGCAGATGTTTCATCATACATTCTGTATTGTACTATTGAAAATTTCAATAAAAATCTATATGCTTAAAAAAAAAAACTCATGCTCCTCTTTGACATGTTGGACCCTGCACATTATTCTGTGGTAGTTTGCTTAAGGACCTCAGATAACGGTCACACATGCAAGCACAATCTTGTCCTCAGACCTTGCCAATATTTATGTGTAAAGCTGGCCATACACCTATAGATTTTCTGCAGATTTTCTATGGTCAGATGGAAAAGTGCAACAGATTCCTCCATCTACGCTAAACTGTGGAATCTCCCACTGGGCTAAGCTTCAGTATCTTGCTAGCCGGCCCCCCTGACTCTCAAAATACCTGAACAGTGCCTGCATCCAATCACATTGTTCAGGTATTTTGACAGCCAGCGGGGCCGACTAGCAAGATACTGAAGCTTGGCCCAGTGGGAGATTCCTCCATCCACACAGTTTAGCGTAGATGGAGGAATTTGTTGCACTTTTTCCATCTGACCAGAGAAAATCTGCCGATAATCTATAGGTGAATGACCAGCTTTAGTCTAATGGAGGACCTCAGGTTAAATATGCCTATGCATGAATGTGCATACTTGGACAATTCTCCAAGATATGGAAGTAGAAGTTAAAAAAAAGCACCTCACACCTCTTGGCTTATTTATTGATTGATTTTATTTATTTATTACAGGTATTTATATAGCGCCAACAATTTACGCAGCATTTTACATAGTTGCACATTCACATCAGCCCCTACCCTCAAGGAGCTTACAATCTATCTCACATGCATGCATAGAGGGCCAACTTAGAAAGGAGTTAATTTACCTACCAGCATGTCTTTGGAGTGTGGGAGAAATCCAGAGTACCCGAAAGAAAACCCACACAAGCACAGGGAGAACATGCAAACTCCTTGCAGATAGTGACCTGGCTTATATGGAAGAGCACGATAGCAACTGATCTTTCTCTTTTTTAATTAAGAGGCACAGTTGTTGAGTGAAGATCTGCCATATACAAGTGGTATATGCTGCCACTAAGTAGGGCACTAAGTACACACAAAAAACCTACAGGAAGAAGTTTTTCTCCTAGCGTCCAAAGAAGTAAGGACCTGTAGCTCCTGGGATGAAGAATGGATCAATGAAAATTATTCTATCAAGCAGCTGACTGGCAGACAGGCTGGATAATATAGTTCCTTGTAGTGTAACTGGTGCAGTTGGTTCAGGCATCTTAACCTGAAAAAAGTAATTTCAGTGAGGTGCCCTTCTCATTTCAGAGAGGTGCCCTCTGCCCCCCCCTCTCACACCCCACGAAGAAAATGTCCGGGAGCCGCTATCTTATAGCGGGAGACTCCGGGAACATCTGGGAGAGTTGAGATGTCTGATGGTTTATCTTTAATTAATAGCTGTGTGTCTCTCAATGAACTCAGGGAAAATAATTTTGCAGGAAGTACAAAAAAATTCTATTATCTAATGCTAGGTCTACTTAAAGTACTGTATATGTTATTAGAGGAGCAGTGAAAACTGCCATAGAAGTGGGTCAGTAGTTCATTACCCTTGTTTACTACTTTACTCTTTGATTGCCAAGGATCTTTACCAATGTCATGGTTGTATAATCTGCTAAGTAGCCAGTGACATATGGTGAAATCATGAAAATCTAAAGGAAGCTGCAGCCATGAACTTGATGTTCAGAGGGATCTCCTTGTGGTTTAAAATGAACCTGAAACTTTTTCCTCTCCAACACCTCCAGGCTCATGATCATTGTGGCTTCAGATGGCAGGACAAGAGATGGCAGAGCACTATGTGTCACCAGGTTCTTTCTGCAGCATACAGGGGATACCATGTGCTTTAAAGTGTATGTATAACCCAAACTTTTCTTTTAGATGTATTGTATGCCCTCTTTGTCCTGCTAGGGAGATTTCCCTTTACTTCCTGTCTTGGGGAAACAACAGAAAGCAAGAGGGAATCTCTTCAAAGTCAGGGGAATTTCTATGTTAAACATATGTCACCAGAACTTTGATCCCCATTAGAAGAATTCATCTTACCTCTAGCTTATATGATAGCACCAAAATGTAGAATTCCCCCTGACACAATTAGAGGGGTTAATGTTCCCAGCAGGAACACAGGCTGCAAAAAAAAAACTTGACAGAGGATCTAACCCTTCCTCACTCTATACAAAAGTAAAATTTAAAAAAAGGCTTTGCCTTTACATACACTTTAAATGAACACAAGTGTAGCAGCAGCAATTGTTTGTCATAGTTGCCAAGCATTGTAGTGTGGCGTTCAGCAGTTTTGCATCCCCTGCGGCTATTGAGGAATATATTTGGGTGAAATTGTTTGTGCCTGGAGTTCAGCTGTCCTGACAAAACAATGCCTGCTCTGCCCCTCACCATGATGCATTCCTGGAGCTGTTATATCTCCAAAACCCTCAGCTAGATTATCCTACCTATGTAACTCGGCCCCCTCATGTTGAAGCATATAGGCTCCACATTTTGACTGCTGGCTGCTCTCAGTACAGGTACAAGTGCCCTTTCATTTCAGGAGCTGTTACCACACCTCTTACTACTCAACTATACTTATAGAATGTGTGTTTGGTGGCTGCTACACTATTGTGTCTTGAGGTGGGAGGTAATCATACACACTAGCTGAAGATGTGTTAAATAGTACAGCGCTAAACGTCTTTAATATTTTTTATTTAATATTATTGCTTTCCATTAGCGCAAGTTCTTGCAAATATCTATACTAAAATCGGGTACACTTCTTAAAAATTATAGAAATCATTTTTTGTACAAATTTTAGTCCTTGGTTTATATATAATTTTATTCATTTAATATTATTGCTTTCCATTAGCGCAAGTTCTTGCAAATATCCATACACACTAGCTGCCTTAGTAATGCACCATAGATATGAACACGTTTGCTCAGTCAACACCTTATACACTAAGTCAGGGGCAGGCAACATTGGCACTGCCTCTGGGAGTCATGCCTCTGCCTGTCAGTCTTGCAATGGGACTTGTAGTTTAAGAACAGCTAGGGTGCTGAGGTTGTCTAACCCTGCACTAAGCTATAGACAGAGATCGCTTCCAAGTTTTAAAAGAGGGGAACTTATCAGGCATCTTTTGCTTTTAGTTTTGAACCTTCTTTGCACTGTATAATCAAGAGTATTTCATAAAACAGAGCACAGACCTTTTTTTAGTGGAGAAAAGTTTTTTGCCTTGGTTTAATGCAATGGAATTTGTCACTTTGGAGACGTACGGTATGTTACTTTCTCAGGAATAAAGATACACATTTTTCTATTTAATATAAATATATAAACATTAATACATTAAACCCAACTCCAGTAAAAATTGTATCTTGTTTTGGATAATGCGGAAAAAGGGTAAAACCTCTGTCAGGTTTTTAGTTTGTCTCCTGGTTAAAAGAATGGTAACTTCTTCAGTCATGATATAGCAATCATATATTTATTTTGTTTTACTCAATAGTAAAGTGGAACTATACTTTTGAATTTAAAAAAATAGCAGGCTTTTTACTGCAGAAGAGACATATGCTAGGATGAATGAACGCCCGTTCACATGAGCAGTAGTTTTGTCGTCCCGGCTGTGCAAATCAAGATGGCT